TGGAACTAAAAGTTTAAACACAAATTGTACAAGTTTTCACATGGGACATGAAGGACGTTTTGTGTGATTTCTACTGGCACAGGAGCTAAGCAGGAAAGGAACAACAGATCCGTAGTGATGTTGGAAACTCAACTAACTATCCATCGAGAGGCACGAAATGACGTAACCATGTCATAATTCATCACGGCACCCAGATGAAGGCTTTGATTCGGTCAGTGTTGGCCATCTGAAAGTTCTAGATAATTCAGTGTCAATCAACATTCTCTAATCGGAAGGCTGTTGGTCTCGAGGCATCACGTCCGCCCCGAGAGCTAAAGGTCCTGGTTTTAGGCCTCGGTAAAGGATGGGATTCTTTTTTCACGTGGACCGAGTAATTGCTCCTGGTCTCTGAGTAGTACGGTCGGACGCCCGTGTGTATTGCTGCGCACGTAAAAAAAATGAATCCCCTGGCAATTGGAAATCAAAAAGAGTAGTCTAACGGCGCTGTCCAGGCAGAATTTAGAGTTAAAAAATCTACCCAAAGTATTTCAGGATCCTAGCCGGTGTTACGGAGTTCATGCACTGGGCTGACCATCTTTAGACTCAGACGAGTCAGAAGTAGAACGTAACAACAATACAATCTTTTTTCCATGCCTTTAGGCGTATAGGGCTAGACCTATATTTTTTTATAGACCAATCGGCACATGATGGGTGATGTGGTCAGTATCATGCCGGCCGCCTTGACTTTCCGGGACTGTATCCGGTACCCACCCGAAGCTAGGTCGACCTGGGAGTCAAAGTCATTTTTGAAAATAAGTCCGTCTCCGCCAGGGAGCGAACCCATGATCTTGCGATCCGCACGCGAGCGTCTGGCCGCTACGCCACGGCGACTCCCTGCACGTAGCACTTATGGATTTCTATCCTGGTGTTGCATAAACCATAAATCACAGTCTCTAATCCTTTGTTAGGAGATACCAGTTTATCAATCAAGTAGGTGCTGTCACCATATTGCCGGTTGGCGGCAATGAATGTCTGACGCACTCTGTCTCGACCTCGTTTCAAACTCTCAAAAAATGATATTCCTATTCCCATTTGTATCGCTGCAATCCTCTTGCTCCTTGTCCTATACGTTTTTCTGCATTTTTTTTCCTCTTATAAGAGCATTAAAGATTTTTTTTTTTAAGTAGCCGAAATAGTTGGCTTGTATCCTTGTTATTTCTGTCTACAGCCCTCATTCCATTTGTAATCACTTCAGAATCTCTGTATTTGTATTCTTGCAATCTCCTCTTTTTCTTTGCGTTCACCAGCTGTTAACTTTGGCAGAAAGTTTGAGTTGTGCATTCAGTTCTGGTCTTCAGTCTTGTTTAGGATCTTGAATTGTGCATTCACATCCGTTTTACAGATCTGGCTTTTTTGTGTGCATTCTGTTGGTTCCTCCCCGCTTAGATGTCCTGCGACTTCCCCCCAAAAAATGCCTATTAGTCGTCTTTTACGACATTTTTGTAAGAGAAGCAGTAGTTGTATTCCACCCTCCCCCGCCCCCGATAGAGATACACCCCCTATCCAAACAGGACCTATTCGTCTGCATAACCAGTCTATAGACACTATTTGACTTTCTAATTGCTGGTTTGTTTTTCCACAGTGACCAAGGGCTCGTATATACATAACAATCACAATGTCAGACACTTTCGCTTTGTTTATCGATTTCAACTCAGAAACACGTGCAGTTGTCAATAATTATGGCTATTGTTGAAAAATTACAATCACTTAACATTTTCTCTTTTACCCTAGCAACCACGTAACATGTTTGATATTCGTTTGCATTAGTAGGTTGAGTGTTGAACAAAGAACTGTTACCACAGCACTCGAGACATTTCCTTAAGCACTCCGTCCTCATCTCCAGCAGCCAGTGAAGAATATCAGTTGTGATGGTGCCAGTAGGAGTTTGATTAAGTTCTCGTCTTGCTTTTCCTCTGAGTGTCGAGCAGTTCCCCCTGGTGACTCACAGCTGTACCGTTCTACCCAGACCACAATGATCGATTCGTGTCTCTGCATAGTTCACTTGCTCACTTGCCTTAGCAAATATTGAACTTGGTAACATCAAAAACATTCCCTTTTTAAGATGGGAACAAATAACAATTATGCTTAAATAGGACATGATTGATGTGGCATTGACATGTCTGACAGTTAAAGCTTAGTGACAGCTGCAAAAGCTCAAATTAATTTAAATGCTTAAAAAAAAACATTAAAACAAATTCCTTAAGAATGTAAGTGGGGGGAGGGGGTGGGGAAACATACAGACGAAATTAAATGACAGACGAAAGTAAATGCGATCAAAGTATAGCTATCTGTAGGAAAGTGACTCCCTGCGGACCAGTGATTTCCAACTTGTGTGTGCCATGCCCTACCAAAACCTTTCTAAAAATAGCATGCCTCATTTCATTTTATTTATTTTCCATCAAATATGTACAATATTTCTTTAGTCTGCTACATATGTAATTAGTACAGAACTCGCTGCCAGACTGGAAGCCGTTCGCTCTCCCCTAATTTCTATGCTCCCGCGGCTTCCAATGCAAAGCATTCTAGTTATAGTGTTCTCATGTTTTCTTGATGTATGTCCTGTCCAAAGCCAGCAACTTTTCTTTAACCCTTGACCAGCCTGAATTCACTTAGTTCTCTCCCCCAAGCTGGACATTAGTGATTCGATCATACCGTTTCATTCCATCGATTCTGAGCAGAAGTTTGTAGTTTATTATTACCTGTTCTAACTGTTATCAACGTCGTATTATTTTTAATTTTATTTACAGTTCTATAATTTCCTAGTGCTATTCGCATTTTAATCTCTCCATCAGTTCCCCCGTCCTTCTTTATATCTCTGCCCAAATAGGAGTATGACTCCACAATTCTGAGCAGAAGTTTTGTAGTTGATTATTACCTGTACTAACTGTTAGAGAGAACGTAGAGAGAGAGAGAGAGAGAGAAATTCCCTAGAGGATTTGAGAGATGAGAGAGTTCCCCCGAGAGAGAGAGATCTCTGTCCAAAGAGGAGATGAGAGAGAGGAGAGAGAGACCAAGAGAGAGTTGAATATTGTTTGCCTGGTTTTTTTTCATTACTTTTGTCTTCCCTCTGTATATTTTTATATGCTACTGTTGTGATCTCCCATCATTTACGTTTATCCTATTTTACATCTAATTTCATGAGTAAGATGGGAGTTGAATGTCATCATCAAAGTCCAGATCATGAAGTTTTTCTGTAGAGTTTCACTTGAATGCAAACCTGGTGGCAGCTGTTGCATATGATCTTCCATGCCAAGATGTCACACAGTCCAACATCTTCTCTCTCAGTCTCTCTCTGCATCTTTGTCCGCTCCAGCTTTCCCGCCGTTACGACGTACTCCAGTTCTCTCCTTTCCATAAGATGATCAAAGAATGTAGATTCTATCCTTCTGATGTGTTCAATCAGTTCTCTTCGTGGGTCAGTTTCTTTCAAGACATCTTCATTACTCGTTATTATCTGTCGATGGTGATCTTGCCCTTCGCCTGTAAAACCACATTTCCCGTTGCTGCCACATCATTTGTCATTAAGTAACCAACAGTCCATGAAAATAATGCCATACATTCCTGAACGTAACATTACCTAGAACAGTGGTCTCAAAACGATTTGTAGGGAAAGTTCCCCTTGAGAATATGACAAGACCCCTCCCCTTCCCCACCCACCTCGACATAGCAAAATGTGATTATAAAGAGGGATAAAATAAAAAAATCTCAAGTACTGTTAACAAAACTTCTAAAGAAAACACGCATATAGTTTAAAGCATCAAATAAAAACAGAAACAATCCCCAGCAACTGGTAATTTATAGTCCAGATATCAACATGATGGTTGACACAGTTTTGTTTTGATGATATATGCTATGTTTTGGTTTGATGTTGGACAGTTTTGTCTTGATGATATATGTTATGTTTTGGTTTGATGTTGGACACAGTTTTGTCTTGATGATATCTGCTATGTTTGGTCTGATGTTGCACAAGGCACAACGGCGATCACTCTCCACAACAAGCTTGCAATGATGTTTTGTTTTCATGACTGTTATAGCAGAAAATCCAGATATGACAAGCACAAATGGATTCGATTTCAAATTTGGTGGACGCCCCCTTGACACTTTTCCACCGACACCCCCGCACTCCCCCCTCCCCCCCCCCTCCAACCCACCATTTCTAAGGGGCGCTCCCTTTAGTTGGAGACCCCTAGCCTAGGAACCCATAGACGACCCACAAATGCTCGGTTGTCCCGCAATCTCGTGTGAAGTATATGCAGCTAACTAATAACATGGGGACACAAGAATTGGTTTTTAAAGTCTAGAGAGGCAATGGAATACGTGATTAACGGGCAAGAATACGGTAAAGAGATTACACGGTTCGGGCCCTCTGCCATTTTGCACGTGACATCATCAATTCACGCATAATATCAGCCTGCGTCAGTGTGCATGAAACTCACCGATGCCGTCTCTCTCTCTCTCTCGCCTACATCAGTTATTAACCGTTGTGACAGCAGCGCATTCAAAGTGGAAGTAATAATTGCACTGACAAGAAAAATAACTACAGTGAGTTTATGAGTGCCCGGTGACTGGATATGTGGTTTTTGCATCTTTGTAGTTTTTTTTTTTTTTTTTAATTGAAATGTGTGTAGAAATATCATCAGATACAAAGAAATGCGCGTTTATTTTGTTTAAATGCACACATTTCGTTAAGATTTCAAAGACTGTAAACGTTTGAAACGTTTATGTGAATTAACATGACAAAGTACCCCTAGTGATATCGCACAACGATTTAGCATTGTCTTTAACTTCGAAACACATTTCTCCAACTGTAAATACCCCAATTAATATATAGTCTGACAAAATCGTCTACTATTTGTGACATCAACAAGATCTTAGTGGAAATTCCCTTTGAAGTGTGTATTTGAAGATTTCTTCGTTACATGCAAACTCTATATTGTTGGAGTATATTTTCCTAATTAAGAATGAGGAGATTCCATACACCTTTACTGACCATCTTGCAACAGAGGATATGTTCAATACTCTTTGGGAGAATGATGATAGCTTTGTGTCTGAGCCACGTGATCACACCTTGTGTGGCCGTGATCCAAATTAAGGTCGGGGTGTTGCTAATCTCTGACCTAAACGCCCCCTACAGCGTCCAGAGAACTGGTCCTGCAGTGGACATCGCCTTGGAGACGGTCAACACCAGGATGTTAAACAGCTCCTACAGACTGGTCAAAGTTCTCCGAGTTTATGACCGGATTTGTGACGCCAGGTTTGCTTCAGGTGAGGTCTTCTTGCTTGTCCCAAGGCCAGATTTGCCAAGGTTTAGACGCTAATGTATGTGTGAACACCGCCAAGGCCAGATTTGCCAAGGTTTAGAGGTTAATGTATGTTTGAACACCGCCAAGGCCAGATTTGCCAAGGTTTAGAGGCTAATGTATGTCTGAACACCGCCAAGGCCAGATTTACCAAGGTTTAGACGCTAATCTATGTCTGAACACCGCCAAGGCCAGATTTGCCAAGGTTTAGACGCTAATGTATGTGTGAACACCGCCAAGGCCAGATTTGCCAAGGTTTAGACGCTAATGTATGTTTGAACACCGCCAAGGCCAGATTTACCAAGGTTTAGACGCTAATGTATGTCTGAACACAAGGGTCATATGCTTTTGAATTCTCCCCTCCCACCTTTTTTTCCAGATTTACATTCTGTTTAATTAACACCACCAACGTTGTGCTGTCAATGTCAAACATGGACACTGTCTTCAGAAAAAAAGAAGGAAAATTAGTCACGACAGAAATGAAATTGTTACCTACTATGATAGGTGTAACAAGGAAAGATTGACATAGGGACGATGATATGAGGAGGAGAGTCGGCACAGAACCAACACTGAAGTCTTCAGGTAGAAAGTACAGAGTCGGCACAGAACCAACACTGAAGTCTACATGTAGAAAGTACAGAGTCGGCACAGAACCAACACTGAAGTCTACAGGAAGAAAGTACTTTTTACGAAGCGAACAAAAGGACCCGTTCCAGAGATGTCTTCCTTCCCTGACGCCGCGTGGCATTCCAGAGGGTAGAGAAAAGAAGAAGAAGAAGAAGAGGGTTAACACACCAAGAATGAGCACTGAAATGCTAAAAGTCCCGAAAAATCCCGTTCAATCGTTAGGCCATAAAGCACAGATATATTGGGGCACCACAAAACGGCCAAGAAGTAACCTGTAGTTCAGTGTTGCTGGATTGTATATGCATCGTCTATTGTCTTTCTGAGGGCCGGCTTTTTAGGAACAGATTTGCACAGGTTAAACACAGCCCTCACTAGGTGCTAGAGTTCCTCTCTAGGCCACTAGTTTTGGTGCAACTGACATTTCTTAGCCAACATAATTGGCACAAAGAAACCAGACCACAATTATAACCTATACTGCTCGCATCGTTGAATGATGTCGATTTTTGTTTTTGTTTCCTTTTACTTAAATGGATAAAAAAATGTACCACTACTGTGTATTTCAAGGCCAGATTTAAGACGCATAAGATAACGTAAATTTTTAATAGGTAGACAAAGAGTAACTACATCAATTAAAGTTAATAACACAGAAATATAACAAACGAGCGAATTTAAATATCAAGGGTCATTTTTAAGATTAGATGGAGGAATGGATAGAGAAATAACCAAACGATGTGCGAAAGCAAATCACGTTATGGGACAATTAACACCGCTTCTGACGCATAGAAAGATACCTCTGTCAACCAAAGCAAATCTCATTAGAACAGTTTTTTGGCCCACATTGTGCAGCTAGTGCCAGAGATTGACCCTTACCACAGACAATGAGCGGAAGATCGTAACAACAGACATGGGATGTCTTGGGAGAGCTGCCAGTGTGACAAGAAGAGATAAAATCAGGAATGAATAAATTAGAAGAAAACTAGAACTGAAACCAGTCATACACTTCATTAAAGAACAACAAATGAGATGGTTTGGCCACCTGACAAGAATGCCCCGGTACTAGCTGACACAGAGAGCCACACTGAAAAAATAAAATGAACACAGAGCAAGGGGAAGACCACGCAAAACATGGAACGACACCATCGGGAGCAACCTAACATACATATGCACCAATGTGTGCAATGCATTGGGAAAAGCGAACAAACGATCATTATATCTCCCCCCAACACCTCACTGAGGTAAATGGTAGAAGAGAAGATCTTTGAGACCAGTTTTTTAAGACCAGATGTGCAAAAGGTAAATATGTATACCGCATTTTTCAAAGTAAAATAAATGCATAGGTTGAGACGCTATTCTAAATTTCAAAATCAGATGCCCAAAGGTTAAAATATTATTGCATATTTGAAGGTCACATTTTGGCAGCCTCTTTCCAGACGATATGGTTATACTGCGCTATGAGGAGACATGGGAATCACCGTCCATGGCGATGGCGAGTGTGACTAGCAAGACCCACCCGCGTTAGGAAAAATCTTACACAATTTCAGCATGGGATTTCAGGACCGCTGTTGCCATCTCATGTATTAAGTCTGTTTCTTCTCAGACGCTCAGTTCGCATTCCTTCTGCAATCATTTTTTCCTCCATTCTTATCTAAATCCTCTTCCTGACCCCCCCCCCTCTTCCCCCCCCCCCTCCTCTCTCCCACAGAATACGGTTTCCATGTCAAATATGCATAATTTAAAATGGTAGTGCGATTTGAAAGTCAAATTTGTCAAGATTATGACGCTCTTTAAATCTAAAGGCGAGATTTCTCTACACTGACATTTGTATTTAAAATCTGTCTTTATTGTTCATAATACCCCGTTTTGGATCTGTGGCACAAACGTGACGTGAAAGGATACCAAGCACCAATGCGCCGACATTGAAGGGAATCACACAAATATTATACAGGAATGCGAGCGAATGAAAGAGAAGATTGTCTGGTTACTAACACAATAACTACGGGAACACTCGTGTTGGACAAGGCAAATACTGTGAAGACATATATGAACGAGTGCTGATTGAAGACACAAGATGAGGTAATTTATCCAATAAATCTTGTTCATTAGATGTGAAATAATGTGTGAACGAGCAATTAGGACTGGATCCGTATCAGAGGAAGAGAACGACGTGTTTATCATCAGTGTGCTACGGAAACAGTATCTACATCTTAAGACATTTGCTGCGGGAGACGAACCATCTGTGGGTATACCCGGTGTGCTATGATGTCGATTCTCATATTAGTGATCAGTGCCCGTTTTTAGGGCGGTATACGATTCAAGGGGGGGGGGGTGAGGGGGGTGGAGTCTTAAGCCCAAGTTGTAGAACCTTATGGCTAGTACTGTCGCCACGAACTAAGCACGTTAGATTGTTTTTTCCCTTCCTCCCTCTCCTCACCGACAGGGGTAAACTGTATATTTGAAGACCGGATTTGTCCAAGTTTTTTAGTTTGTCGAGGTCCATCACTGCAAATGCGTGGCCTCATGAATGCTCTTTTTCTTTGCTAGTGGAAATCACAGAAAATGTCCTTCGCTGACTTGTTTGAACATCTAGTGAAAACGTGTCAGTCCCCAGCATAATCTTGAAGCTTGCACAGGCAATGTAAAAATGCATGTTAGCTTTCATGTGTGCCAGCACTGACGGCCCCACACCAAGTTAAGACCCTGTTATATATTTAAAGACAAGAGTTGCTTAGTTCAAAATATATTTGTGGTAAATCTGAAAACCAGATTTAGGTTAAAGACGATATATCTAATTTCCCGAAGAGCAGTAACTGTTTGTTTATGTCCTTTTGTAACGATCCCAGATCTTCTTTTGCTACAGGGGTCGCAGCTGAGCTGTACTACAAAGAACAGATCCAGGCTTTGGTGGGTCCAGCCTGCGACCCCGCATTGGAGAGTGTAGCACGACTGGCCGCCTACTGGAATATCCCCATTATAACAGGTATCATATGGTTCCATTGGTATTTTATTCATATAAAATTACATAACATATTATCGTTGCGGCTTTGTACATAACATCTTAAATGGAAAATAAATTTACGAATTATGTTCTTTATCTCCCCCCCCCCCCCCCCCACACACACACACACACACATTTTGCTGTCTCTAGCTGAAATATTTTACTTGTATAAGTTGAAAATCGTTTTGAATAAAATAGAACCTTCAGGTCTCATCATCATCATCATCATCATCATCATCATCCTCATTTACGGTGCCAGATGGCAAGACGCTTGTCTCTTTGCTCATCCTCTGCCCTTCGTTCCCCAGTGGAGCATAGGTCCTCAACCAACTCCGGCCTATCCTTCGCTGTGACATGCAGTTCTCCCCATGTCCTCCCTATTTTCTTAACTACACTCCCTTCACCACTTGTTTTTGGTCTGCCTTTATTTCTATGCCCCTGTGGGTATCGGTCTAAAGCTCTTTTAGTATCTTCCTCTCAGGGTTTCTCAACCTGTATCCTAAACAGCACAATCGCCCTTTAAAAATGGGAGAGGGAAAAAGAGGAGAAAATGGCAAAAAAATGGTAGTAATCTGTAAATATACATGTGTGTGTGTGTGTGTGTGTGTGTGTGTGTGTGTGTGTGTGTGTGTGTAATATTTTGTGTGTGTGATTTCTTGAGGCCTCAGAGATGTGGTTTTACAGAAGAATGCATTGGACAGCCAAAAAGAGCAAACAAGAGATTTTGAAAAAGGCTGGAGCCCGAAGACAGCTTATCACAGACATCAGAAGGAGACAGTCATCATTTTTCGGCCATGTTATGGGAAGAGTGAAAATAGAACATGTTGTGACCACTGGAAAGATTTGTGGAAGGAGAGAAAGAGGAAGACAACGAGAGAAGATTATTGACTGTCTTGTTGCATGGCATGGAGGTGTGTCGGCACACGAACTGATACATGCTGCAGGAGATCGTGGATTATGGAAAGGCATGATCGCCCACGCCAATCGGCAAGACACCTGATTATGACGATGATGTGTGTGTGTGTGGGGGGGGGGCGGGGCGATGGTGACATGACATTTTCCGCACCGGGTACCACCTTACCTTGCTACTTCACTGCATACACTAGATGACATGGTGGCAAATACAGGGACACTAAAGCATGACTTTTTCCGCTGTTTCTGACATTAGAAGCAATAGTGCAGCCTAAACAACATATTAGTCGTGGCAAATTCACTTTTTTTCTTCTAATAATTAACGTATTATGAAAAATGAATGCTTTCAAATGAAAGGCGCTAGTCACCTTGGTTCCATGTTGAAGTTTGAAGTTTGAACAACGAATCCACATCATGGCACAGATGTAGTAACCCATAAGTGCTCCGTGCCTCTTCTATCTCAAGAATGAGTCCGAAGAAGATCAGCACAGTGTACAGGCTCTTTAGCACCGGCAAGGATCCCGAAACACCTTGGATAGATTTGTAACTCTAAATTATGCCCGGACAGCCCCGTTAGGCTACTCTTTTCGATTTCCAACTGCCAAGGGCACTGCAAACGGGCGTCCGATCTCACTACCCAGAGACCACAAGGAATTACTAGAAGTCCAAGTCCACGTGAAAAAACCCCCAATTTTTTTCTTATTAAAATATATAGCTCACTTTTAGAAAACTAAAATTATCCATGAAGATAGAAATGGCTTGGCCACGTTATGAGAATGAATCCTGATATACCTGTCAAAACAGCTCTCACATGTATACCAAAAGGAAAGAGAAAGAAGAGGCGCCCAAAAACAACACTGAGACGAACGATGGAGAGTGACCTGAATGCGGCATCTCTGACATGAAAAACTGCACTGAAGATTGCACAGGACAGGAAAGCATGGAAAGTCCTCTCTGAAGCCTCATGTGCCACTAGGCACAACGATAACTGATGATGATGGTGAAAATTACCCATGTAAGTTTTGAAAGATTACCAGACGGCGGGGATTTTCGCATCCACAGGTTTGGGAGATGGCGGGATGTTCAAAAACAAAACCGACTTTCCGACATTGACCCGGTTTTCCTACTGCCAGTGCCGGCTTCGGAAAGTGTTTGCTAGTCTGTTCAAGGAGTTTCACTGGCGAGATATCTCGTTAATCTACGACGAGAATGACATCACAGCGGATACTTTGGGTAAGGTCATTCATTCATTCTATCATTCATTCATTTATTATATCATAATTCATTCATTCTATCATTAATTCATATATTCTTTCATTCTATCATTCATTTGTTCATTCATTCATTTAGGAATCCATTATTTCCTGTTAAATCTTCAGCCCCACAAGTGTGACGTGACGCGTGGTTTAAATGTTTATAATGTTGAGTCGGGATGTTCCTCTCAACACATTCCCTCCACCAGATTAACCGAACTAAAATCTGAGCTATGTTGCTCTCAGACAAAGTCCTGGATATCCAAGAAAACAGCCATATTGGCTCGTTAAGTATATTAACATTAGCTGAACTTGGTACCCACGAGAGAAGGAAAGGAATTTTAGATGTCTATAGCATTGTATTACATGAATTATTAGACAGGGCAAGTGATTCCTCCGTCATCTACCTTCTCCAGGTGTTATTATGAATAATTAAAGAATTATTTTATATTAATTGAGCCCCCACCAAATGGTATTCTATCCTAACAGTTTAATTAAACATGTAAGAACAGACATTTGGAATTTAACAAACTATCTAGTTTAAAACTTGACATACAGCTTTATTTACTACAATGAAATTACCAGTTTGTCGATTTACACAAACAGTGACTGGTTAACGTGATGAGTGATATGCTTCAGCGAGACAACAGCTCCGGGGTTTAGAGTGGTAGAATGATATTGATATGTTAAGTCAAAATAGGTTAACTTAGCTTATAAGCCTCTGACAGCCGTGAGGAACTGTCAAGCTTGTCCAACTCTTCCTTGCCTGTTTTCTGCCTGTTTCAGCTTATTCTTCACTTCATCCCCACCTCGGTCTCCACATCGTTCCCACCTCGTTCCCAGCTGGCCGAGTCTAACACAATGTAGTCTACTTCATGGACTGATCGTCACATGGGCGCTGTAATCATGGAAACAAAACACATACGTGTAGTATCTTGACTTACACTAAGAATACATGTATCAATTAATACAACATATAATAAAAAGATATAGCCCATCACTCCTCCTCATATTCCACATCCTCTCCAGTCTAGTCTGAAGGTCTTTTGTCTTACATGGGCGTCACATATCCTGCCTTCCCTCAAATGCTATGTCATGATAGTTGACTTTCTAAGTCTGTAGATCCGTCTTCACTCAGACTTCGAATTGGCTGACATAGATTTGACATAAACATGTGGCGCAGGTTATGTGCTGAACCCGCAAACAATTTTTATGTGCACGCTGTCCTGAATATTATCTTTCAGTGACCGTGAATTCTATACACCCACCATCCTTCCCCTGGGGTTATAAATCCCCTGTTCAGGTGAACACATTAAGTGAGCACATGGTGGGCACACAAAACGTAGCAGCATCCCTGCACATATGGGCATGATTTCCCACAGTCCAAACTCATATTTTGGTAGATGGTGGAAACAATATAATTACATTTCATTATATCAAATGTCATTGTTCACATCTTATTTTATGCACATGAAAACCTACACTGAAAAACATGTGACACAAACATACAAGAAATAGGAATAGTTTAGCAGTTCCCTAACTTGAGATACTGAATACTCACAAAGAACTATTTCAAGCAGAATGTGCAGACAAATTAGGAAAAGGTAGTATAGACTAAGCTTAACTGCCTAACCTATGTATACAAGATTAATATTAATATTTTCTCTTACCTGGGAACTTTCCATTAATCGCCAAAACAGAACCCGACCGTAAAATACTTTTACGTCGCCCTGTGTTTGTTTGCCGGCAGGCTGCGATTAATGACGGGAATTCCACAGGCTAGGTATAAGTATGAATCTATTGTCCAAATTAAACTCCTCCCTTTACTTAGTTTTTACCCAACCCTCAAGATGATGGCTTAAGCCACTCCTCCGAAGTACCTATCAAATCAAATTAGCTAACAAGTGGCCTGTCACTCACAGTGAACGGCCTACAGTACCACCTTGACCAAGATAAAACATTCCTAATTGCCAAACACCTGTTCTCCCCAGAATTACACTGACGTGTTAAACTTTAAACTTCTCCTCGCCTCAATGTCTAGAGTTCGCTCAATTCGTGTTAGGTAATCTTTTATGACCTACGGTCCAGCTCAGGTGTGATGCTAAGTTCCCCGTTCGCTGGCCTCTACAGTCTGTGGTCAGGAGATAACATTCTGACACTGGCATGAGTTTTAGGTAATATTACCCAAGGTTGGGTTGCTTTGTCTGGACTAGGGACGGGAAACATTTAAATCAATACGGTTTAAAGTAACATTTGGTTTAAGGGCATAGTCTCTTGTCTCTCAATAACCAGAAGAACTTATTACAAGTACTAACTTCTGGAATCACTGAGATTGTATCGTGACAAAAAGCAACCTTCGTCAAGTTCATCCACTGGCATATTCTATACCGGAAGCCACTGTGGTGTAGCGGCTAGACGCTCACCTGCGGATCTGAAGGTCTTGGGTTCAAGTATTGACGGAGCCGGACGATTTCAAAAACGACCTTGGCTTCAAGGTCTTCCCAGCCTTAAATAGGTACCAGGTAAAGTCTTGGGAAGTAAAGGTGGCTGGCGTGATGTTTACCCAATCACAAACCGACTGCACATTCATCGATTAAATAAAGCTCTAGCGCTATATGCCCAATAAACCTGAAGGTGTGGGAGAGGGTCCGATATTGCCACACAATGTATTTAGTATAACCAATATAATTTTGAGGGAAATTAAAGAGAATGCAGGAGTAAGAGTTGCAGGATACAATATAATCAATTTGCGTTATGCAGACGAAACAGTTTTGATAGCTAAAAATGCTACTAATTTACAACAACTGCTGGATATTGTGGGGATGCAGAGTGCTAAGAAAGGTTTTTGAATATTTAAAAAAAAAAAAAAAAAACCGAAGTAATAGTTATATCAAAGAAGAAGATAACTCCACGTTGTGATATCTCAGTTGAAGGAAAAAGACTTAACCAAGTCAATAAATTCAAATATCTGGGAACAATCATATTATCAGATGGAAAATGTGTGACAGATATTAAAAGCAGAATAGGTCAAGCAAAAGCTGCATTTCCGAAAATGAAAAAATATCTTATGCAATAAATAGCTCTCATTTAAAGTCAGAAAGAGGGTGCTAAATTGTTACATAGAACCAGTTCTGCTGTATGGCAGCGAATCTTGGAATGTCAGTGAACAAATTAGGAAGAATTTGGAAGCAACAGAGATGTGGTTTCTGAGACAAATGTTACGAAAACCTTGGACGGCCAGAGTAACTAACAACGATTGCTTGAAAGAAGCTAATGAAAGTAGATCTCAATATACAACAATAAGAAAGAGACAAACACTGTTTTTTAGCCACATATTGAGAAGAGAGACATTGGAGAACATCGTGACAACTGCAAAGATCAGTGGAAAGAGGGGTAGAGGCAGACCAAGAGAGACGATGCTGGATGGGCTGAAACCATGACATGGAGGGATATCATCAAGAGAGCTGTTCCAGGCATCCAGGGTCGTGATCTATGGAGACGCATGAGAGCCTATGCCAGTTTGGAGGGAACATGATGATGATTATGATCTAGCGGCTGCCATAGGGCCGTGGCTACAGGCTTGGCTGTCGACCCAGATGTCTTAGGATCAAATCCTCATGTAGGTTAGGTTAGCGGCGTAGAAAATGCATGGTGGCATCCGGTGCGGAATATATATATACACATGCGATTTTGTCACACAAACACCCCCATTCCATCAACCACACACACACACACACACGCACACACGCACACATTGATGACTCGTGGGACGGCAAGCAACTCCTTCCTATGCCCCTGTTCACGTACATGCGGCAGCTGACCTAGCAACAGATGACGAGACTTTGCTGCAGTTAAATGATTTATACTTTTTTAATAGTGTTTTTCCTCTTGAAATCTATAGTTCAGCAGATGGTTCGGAAACCCATTAAGCTTTTCAGCTTAGTAAGAATTGTTACTGTCTACGGGGGTTATACGTAAAAGCATATTTTGAACCTAATGTAAGCTAGCATTCATGTCTTTGTACTGGCTGCTCATATGTTCCACTCAGTTTTTATTTTTTTTTTTTATTTCAGCAGGTCTAAGTGTACCATTTGATTGGATTGGATTTTCTTTCTCTGAGTTCGGCTTGACTGTGAGAATGGTGTCTAGTGTAAATCCTCACAAAAATATGTGTAGATCTATGATACTTATTGATTTTCTAACGTTGATAAAATTATGTTATTGTCTAGCCGACAGAAAATATATTGTTCCAATGAGTTTTCTATGTTTTAGTTTTAGACTTATATGACTGAGCTTCCATATGATAGTAGTCGGAACTTGTCAACTGATATCATCCACCTGCTATCTTGATATCATCTACCAGTTACATTGATATTCCCCATCTGTAGCTCTGATATCACCCATCGCCCACTATGATATCGTCCACCCGTTACTCTGATATTACCCACCGCCCACTATGATATCATTCAACGATTACCCTGATATCTCCAGGTGCAACTCTGAGGGAAGGACTACAAAGGGACAAGTACTACCCGTACGTGATCCCATTTTACAGCCAAAGCAACCCTGACGTTTCGGTCCTCCTGCGAGATGCATCTCTACGATCCAGAAGTGAGTTGTCAGGCGCAGTCATTAAAGGACTCACTTTCACAGTAGAAGATGATGATGATTACACAGAAGAGGCAAAAAGAAGAAACAGAATATGATGACAGTCGTTTTGATCATAATGATGATGATTTTAGTGGTAGTGGTTGTGGTATGTTGATGATTGTAGTAGCGGTGGTGGTGATGTTGCTTTTTGGTGATGATGATGGTGTTGATGAGGTGATAAAGGTGGCGGGTGGTGGTGGCGACAATGATGATGATGTAGGTTGATGTCTTAATGGTGGTGATGATGATGGAGATGATGATGGTGATGATGGTGGTGGCGTTGATGATACTGCTGATGATGATGGTGATGCTGGTATTGTGGTAATGACGATGATGATGGTGAGGTTGGGGAGGATGCTGTTGGTGGTGGTGGTGATGTTGATGATGATTGTGGTGGTCATCATCATGTGCCCTTGCCAACTGGCGTAGGCGCTCATGCGTCTCCACAGATCACGATCCCTGGTTGCCTGGAACAGCTCTCTTGATGATATCCGTCAATGCCATCGTTTCAGCCCATATAGCATCATCTCTCTTGGTCCGCCTTTACCCCTTTTCCCACTGATCTTTCCATTTGTCACGATGTTTTCTAATGTCTCTCTTCTCATTATGGGGCCAAAGAACAGTGTTTGTCTCTTTCTTATTTTTGTATATAGAGATCTTCTTTCACTAGCTTCTTTCAAGCAATCGTTGTTAGTTACTCTGGCGGTCTAAGGTTTTAGTAACATTCATCTCAGAAACCACATCTCTGTTGCTTCCAAATTCTTCTTAATTTGTTCACTGAAATTCAAAGATTCGCAGCCATACAGCCGAACAGGTTCTATGTAACATTTTAGCTCCCTCTTTCTGACATTAAATGAGAGCGATTTATTGCATATTTTTCATTTTCTGAAATGAGGCCTTCGCTTGACCTATTCTGCTTCTAATCTGTCACACATTTTCCATCTGATGATATGATTGTTCCCAGATATTTGAATTTAATGACTTTGGTGGACTGTGCTGGTGGTGGTTTTTGGCAATTTAAAAAAAGTGATGGTGGCGGGTGTTGGTAAAAGAAAGTTGTTGTGATGAGGAAGGGTGATCGTAAACGAGGTGGGATGTGGTGATGATGGTGTTGATAAAGGTGGTGATGATGGTGATGATGGTGTTGATAAAGGTGGTGATGATGGTGATGATGATGGTGTTGATGATGGTGGTAATGATGGTGGTGATGATGGTGTTGATGATGGTGGTGATGAAGGTGGTGATGATGGTGGTGATGATGGTGTTGATGATGTTGGTGATGATGGTGGTGATGATGGTGGTGATGATGGTGGTGATGATGGTGTTGATGATGGTAGTGATGATGGTGGTGATGATGGTGGTGGTAATGGTGGTGATGATGGTGGTGATGATGGTGGTGATGATGGTGGTGGTAATGGTGGTGATGATGGTGGTGATGATGGTGGTGGTAATGGTGGTGATGATGGTGGTGGTAATGGTGGTGATGATGGTGGTGGTAATGGTGGTGATGATGGTCGTGGTAATGGTGGTGATGATGGTGGTGATGATGGTGGTGATGATAGTGGTGATGATGGTGGTGGTAATGGTGGTGATGATGGTGGTGGTACTCACCACAACACCTACTAAGTGCCGATTGATCTTTATATAAATTTTACGTCTAGCCCTATACACCCAGTTCTCCTGAAATCACAGAAGAGGGTCATTACTTTACTTTGTTGGAATACATATGCCACTTCTATTCAATAATAACAGCAGTAACGGGAGGAAAGGTGGATTTGTTCAGGAGAAGATGAACAACAAAATGCTCATATGGTAAATAAAGATCGCTTTCTGACTGTTCTTTTCAAAAAACTTTGAACGATTGCACTGTGTGTTTCTCCTACAGTTATCGTTCTAGTGATGTCTGGAGACCTTTTACGCCGGTTCCTGATGAAAGCCTTCGACCTCGGGTACCCCCAGAGCGGCGAGTACGTGTTCCTTAACGTGGAGTTATTTCGATTTCCGGGTCCCTACTGGGGCAACAACGATTGGATAAGAGGAGATTCACGTGACCCTGATGCACGAATCGCCTACGAGAGTCTTCTGCGCATTAGTCTGCACATTCCGAACAGCGAGCAGTGGCAGGATTTTACTGTGAACTGCGTGCAGAGGTCACGGAATGACTACAACTTCAGCTACGTAGACGAAGAGGTGAGTGAGTGTCTTTCCGGTTTTTCGACAGTGGGTTATTTTTTTACGATAGTCTCCCCAATGAAAGTAGGTCACGTTCCATTGATAACTTTGTTGGACTGGTCTAGCTTGCTGGACGTTACGGGTGTGCCGCTCTGTTGTTTGCTTTCTGGGATGTCTTGCATTTACGTTTTTTTCCCCGAGAAAGAGAATGCCTGTGACAGGTTTCATCACTCTCTAAAGGGGTTGTGTGTTACACCCAGTTTGTCGATGTTTTTGGAGTGTCAAATGCGCTGAAATGCTGAAGTATAGAACACGCGATTTCAACGGCATAGGGACGGGGAGGGGGTAGACACCCCCTGGCTCAAGGTCGACCTATCAGAAGAGAGCTACGCTGAAGGTCGACCAATCATAAGTGAGCTAGTGTAGAGCTGTGTGAATGGGGGGACTAACTTTACTTTTACCCGACAGTGTTATACTGTGCTGGTGTGAGGCATGGAAATCGTGGTTCATGGGGATGGAGAGTGTAATAAGCAAGGAAGAAGAGCTAATTTAAAAAAAAAAAGTCAAAATAAAACCAATAAGTACGTAATGTAAGTACGTCGGCATCATGTATTTTGTTTCTTTCTATTAAGTTTTTTTTTTTTTTTTTTTTTTAAATCAGCGCTGCTGTCTTACCCTTTGGGTTTTCTAGTGACAGTTTGTGATAAAGATTTTGGTCGAAACGTTCGGCTGTGTTTGTGTGTGTCTTTTCCATCCCCTCCGTTGAGCTTTTCAGTTGCAGTTTGTGTTTCTTTTAGCTTAACTCGTCTTTCTTTACAGGTGAATTTCTTTGTGGGCGCTTTCCATGACGCTGTGCTGGGATATGGACGAGCTTTGAACAGGACCCTCAGCAATGGAGGCAACATTTCGGATGGTGTTGGTCTCACTAGAAGTATGTGGAACTACACAACATACGGTAGGTATCTATCATGGGTTGAGGCTTTTCAGAGCAGGTCATACAGTATAATTATTGATATCGTGCTCCACTACTTCCATCAACAACAAACTGCATTTCTGATGGTAAGTGTTGGCATTGGCGCCTCTAGCAACTGCCATATGCATTTACTGTGTGCACAATTTTCTGGGTTGTACTGGGAATTTACTGTTTGTTCATCAGTTTTTCAAATGGGACAGGGAGTGACATTTCATTTGATTTTCTCTGGCACAGGAATGGAACAAGTATGAGGTGACCTGATTGTAGTGATGTTGAAACCGCTGCTAAGTCTAGGACTAAAACTAGTGATTGATATCTGAAGACGTTGGTTTTATTTACTTTGTCCATAGAGTATTATACATTAGAGTTGTTAGGTGGGTGATTAGTTCATTTTGTTTTACGTTTACGGATCGTTTAAGGGAAAAGTCGTCAATGAGCATTGCTGTGAAAGCCATGTCAGAGACAAGGTGCGTAACTCGGGAAGTTACTAGAAAAAGCATCAAAAGCTGGACACCAGACATATTTTGCGCTGATAGCATCCAAAAGACGCTTGTGAGCAAGTCTGTGTCTGGGTGTGTGTTTTGTGGGGGGAGAGGAGGGAGGGGTATGTATGTGTGTATTACCTTTTACATTATCATTTCCCTGTGTGTAGATCCAGGTGAAGATGATCAATTTTAGGAATTGGGTGTTGTCTACACATTCAGTGTAGAGACTATCAGCTACCATTTCCTGAGGAAGTTCACATATTCGGATAGGATTACCGCAAGTGTATGCTTTAACCATGATTTGTCACATGGATATGAAAGCCGATCCTTGTTCAAACGTATCAAGAACACACAGAACAGATCATAAACGTAGGAACATTTATCTTCTACGCGATCATCGCATGTGAACTCCTGCAGAAAGTTCTGTTTGTTCGTCCACATATTACACGGGGGAGGGGATGATGTCTAGTTCCATAACTTGAGTTTTGCTTGCACTTCCGTTTTAAGAGATCTGGCTTTTTTGTATACAGAATGTTGATTTCCTTGTCTCTCAGCTAGACACACTCTGGCCTCGAAAGTAACGTCGATCCTATCTAGGTTGGCCGGGATGTAGATTGGAAACCTGTTTCATAGATGGCTACGAAGAGAATAACACATATCTTGTTGACTTAGTGACCTCCTCATACGGTGACCTTAATATTGAGCACAACATGTGACATTCTAAGCTAGTCAGTTTGAACACCCCCATCACCTAAAAAAAACTTCTTTTTTTTTTTTTTAGGTCATCTGGGTGAAAGGGTTAATTACTTTTTCGACAGTCGTATTAAAACTCGATCCATCGTTACCAAGAAGTAAACGAAACACAATGCTCTTTAATTGCACGTAAAACAAACATGCTGCAATGAAAATCCCCATGAACATATTTTAGGCATTAAAAGTAACAAACAAACTATTACATTTAATAAGGTCTACAAATATAACTATGAGGGTATGTTCTGTTCTTGAGCTAATTTCCAGACTTTGATAAAACAGGACAATTAGCATTTTTTCCTCTTTTTTTGGGTGTACCGACGAGGCGGCCGGGGCACACTACGAGAAAACTAGGTCTGTTACCGATGATAACGGACTGTCCCAGTGATAACCGACTGTCCTAGTGATAACCGACTGTCTCAGTGATAACGGACTGTCCTAGTGAAAACAGACTGTCCTAGTGATAACCGACTGTCCCAGTGATAACGGACTGACCCAGTGATAACGGACTGTCCCAGTGTTAACCGACTGTCCCAGTGATAACGGACTGTCCCAGTGATAACCGACTGTCCCAGTGATAA